CAGTCATGATGAAATAGGTAAAATAATGAACAGAAATGACGAAATGAGGACATCAGATTAAAATAATGAACATAGCATTGAAGATTCCCAACATGTTGTTGTACCCTTAATTCAAATTAATTGATAGGCTTCACAGAAATTTTTTTGCTCCATCTCATAAACACAGATTGACAGAAAATTATTGAAAATTTTGGTCCATCTCATATATGATGCACAAACACAGATGGACAGAAAAAAAAAATGGAAAAAACACAGTGGATTGTGAATGATAATAATGGAAATCAAGGGGGATTACATCATTCGGATGGGAAAAATAGGGGAAAAAGTGGGAAAAACTGGGTTGCGAATGATAATTATGGAAAAAATTGTTTTGAAAAAAAATAAATAAATAAAAAAATTCCAAACCTAAGCAACGATTACATCACTCCAACCGTGAATGGTAATTACGGAAATCACGGGGGAAAAAACCTGGGTAGCTCAACACAAAAAAAATGTTCAGAAAAAAACCTTTGCGGTTCTGTGGAAGGCATTTAACTAAGGCGAGAAAAAAAAAAAATGTTGTCGGCGATTTATATTTGGAGAAAGACGGATCATCACCAGATCGACATAAATACCAACCGAATACCATCACTATGGGTCAAAACAGAGGAAGATGTCGTAGATCGGAATGGAAAAAGTTTCAAACCGAGTCGACAAAGGTAACGAACACATGTATAATCGGTTCACGTGATTTACCTGTCGTTGTTCTTCGTCCGTCGTGTTCTGTGGAAGGCAGAGGTCCGCCGGAGATAGGTCCGCCGGAGAGAGATCAGTCGTGCACTGGTGTTACTACAGTCGGTGTGAGAGACGGAACGAAAGAGATGAGAATAGGGCACTTGGGTTTCAGCTGTGTGTATAACCCACACCCTTTGAAATAGTCAAAGGCCAAAATGGTAATTCCACCCCCGGTTTCTAACGTAGCTGTACCACGCGTGAACTGTTCACGCTTTTTGGCTGAAATTTGAATTGAGGCTATAATAGCCTAAATCTCAGGTTCCCAAACAGAGCCTTTGTTTGGTTGAATTTTCAGATTTTATTTTTAAAAAGTAGAAATTAATTTAATAAAACTAAATATTGAAAAAAATTAAAAAAATTAAAATTAATTTATTCCAAAAAAAGAAATAAAAAGTTAAAATGGAAGGAAAAACAATAAAAGTGTTTTGGTCTTAGTATAAAAAATAATTATTTAAATTAGAAAGCATTTAAGATTTTACAACTCTCAATATTAGTAGAAGTAGTTATATTTTCTTAATAAATAATGTTATATATATTAGTTAGTGTTCTAACTAGTATATTAATTGATGATGTGATATAATTTAAGAGATTTTTAATATTTGTAATGTGATTAATAAGTTAGGTCAATAATAATATCATAATTAATATTAATAAATTAATTAATACACTAATTAGTGGATATTGCACTATCATTTTTTAATGCTTTCTTAACGTATACACTTAACATACATGTTAGCAAAAGTATTTATGGAAAGTTATTGTAATTGCAAAAGTCTTATATGGTTGTAGCAGTAATGGACAATTCAAAATTATAAAAAAAGAAAAAAGAAAATTCAATAGCTCAGTTTCCAAGATATCTTTAGCAGTAATTGTATACCAAATCTGAAGGGAAGGGACCGAGGGTGGTTGTTGTGTCATAAGGCGCAACAGTCGGTGGGTATTTTTTTAAGTTTATTTTAATAATTTAAATAATTTATATTAGAGTTAATTATTTAAAAATTTTATTTATAAATGTTATGGTAATTCAAATCTTATCTAAAATTTTTTGAACTAATAAATTCTATTTAGTAAAATTGAGAATATTATCAGTTATTTTTAATTTTTAAAACTAAAAACATTATCAATTATATATAGTAATATTTCAGATAACTGTTTCACTAACTGATAAAAAAATAGAGCATGAGATTAAACGTTTTTGCCATTCTAATTATTAGTTTGATTCAATTATCTAATAAATCAAGAATATTATCAGTTTTTTTCAGTTTTAAAACTGAAAATATTATGAATTTTTTCAATTTTAAATTTTTTTTCAGTTTTTTACATCAATGAATTTTTTGAACTAATAAATTCTATTTAGTAAAATTGAGAATATTATCAGTTATTTTTAATTTTTAAAACTAAAAACATTATCAATTGAGAATATTTATAGAAGGGTTTTGCATTCTGACCCTCTAAAAATTTATAATTTTTTATTGTAGGCTAGCATAAATCTAAATAATTTTATCCAAAAGTTTACAATTTTTCATTGATTTCATACATTTTCAGTAATTATAATAAGAATTAATATTTTAACCAATCCAAATATTTGAAAAATCTCATTACTCTCGTACAAATTTAAATATTTATAAAATAAATTGATATTTTAGTTCTCGAAATTTATTGAAAATTACTTCAACTCCTTTAAAATTAAAAATAAATAAATAAATTACTTTAATCCCTCCTTACACAATTTCTAGGTCCACCACTATAGAAAACAAACACTACCCTTTACAAGGGTATATCTGCAAAATAAACTTAGCTATTTTAGTTATTTTTTTTACTATTTTATGGGATAAAAAAAAATTATGTTTGAAATGTTTTATAAATTGTTTTATAGTTGAATAGATAGTTACAAAAAAAAAATGATTAATATATAGAGTATGATATTTTATTGTAAAAGTTTTACCTTATTAATTATTTTAATATATTTTTATCCTTCTAAATTATTTTAACCAAAATCTTTGTTCCTACAGCGCCAAAACTGTTGAGTATACCTCCTTATTGGAGTGTGGGACCCAATTAGTTTTGGAGAAAGAGTTTAATTTGGTTTAGTATTAATTATAATATATTTTTATATATTATATTTAATTTGTGGAGGCCCAATTCAATTTGGTTACAACTAGGATTTTGATAAAACAAACCTTAGAATTAACAATATATATATATATATTGTTTATGTTTTTTGATTGGTGGGATTACAAGGACAAAACGGCAGCAGCTATTCGTTTTCAGCCTCGGTAACAGTGTCGGTTAATTTGCTGAGTTCATTAGGAGCTTTGGAATTTTCATTCAGTACATGTTTTTTTTGGGTGTTTTGGTGAAGCTGATTTGAGTTGTTATTTTGGGTCTTCTTCAACTTTAATTCTGAAGATTTTGGTTCATCTATTTGGTGAGGTCTTTCCTCTTGTTTGTTTGTGATTATTTAAAATTCACCTAAGGGTGGTTTGTGAGACCATTAGTGTCTCGTTTGTAATCGTTTGGAACTTATTTGGTTGATAGTGGAATCGGATTTCGATCCCGTGGACGTACCTCACATTGAGGGAACCATGTAAAAATTCTTGTGTTGTTTTGATTTAATTTTTCCGCATTAGTTTTTATTCTCATTGATTGATTTACTTGTGGGGAATCACATATTTTCCCTAACAACTGGTATTAGAGCTTACGATTTATTTATGTTTATTTATTTGTGTAAATCAATGGAGGGGAATGTGGGTCGTATGTCTAGCTTCAATGGAAGTTATTGGGTAACTTGGAAAACTAAAATGGAGGATCTATTATTTTGTAAAGATTTGTATGGACCCATTAAGGGTGATTCTGGCAAACTCGAGGGTATGAAAGATGATGAATGGAATAGGCTTAATCGAAAACCCGTTGGTGTTATCCGTCAATGGATTGATGGCAGTGTGTTTTATCATGTTGCTACTGAAACTTCAGCACATGATTTATGGAAAAAAATTAGAGGGTCTTTATGATAGGAAATCAACCACAAATAAAGCCTTTCTGTTTCGTAAGTTGGTTAATTTAAAATATAAAGAGGGTAGCCCTATTCCGGAACATCTGAATGAAATAAAGAGCATTGTTAACCAACTTGCCTCTATGAAAATTATTTTTGATGATGAGTTGCAGGCTTTGATGCTACTTAGTTCTTTGCCCGAAAGTTGGGAGACTTTGGTTGTGACCGTCAGTAATTCAGCGCCCGATGGAGTTGTCACAATGGGCCAAGTCACTAGTAGCCTGTTGAATGAAGAAACTAGAAGAAAATCAGCAGGTTCCTCTCATTCGGAAGCATTCGTTGTGAGAGGCCGAAGCAAAACAAGGGGGAGAAGTAAGACTCCTCATGGTCGTGATCAAAGCCGTGACAAATCGAAAGATGGTTCTTTTTCAAAGAAAGACATTGAGTGCTATTATTGCCATGAGAAAGGGCACATGAAGCGAGAATGCCGAAAACTCAAGAACAAGGAGAAAAGGCGTGATAAAAGTGTGGATAAGAAGCAAGAAGACACAACAGCAGTTACTACCAATGGTGATCTCATGGTCGTTTGTGAAGATGATTGTATCAATTTTGTGGGCCAAGAGAGCAATTGGGTGATTGATTACGGTGCTTCTTTTCATGTGACTTCCCGAGTTGATTTTTTCACTACCTACACCGAAATAATGTTTCAATGATGACTCTAGTGTTGCCTTGTAGTCTTATGTAGAGAACAACAAAACCAAGGGACTAAAGTGACCTTAGGCCATATTAGGAGAATTTTCATGATAAAATGTTCAGGATATTTGATGAACATGGTATTTTTGGCAGCGATCAATGTATTGTGTATAATGTTGATTCATCAAACTAGGTTGTATATGATCATTATAGCATAACACTTCATTAATAGTACACACATTGTTCATTCACTAATTAAAATAAAATTATGATTTGGCTCTGTTTCCAAATCAATCTAATAACTCTATGCATTTTAATTACCTTGTGCAAAGCTTGCATTTCAAACTGCTTTTTCAATAAGCTTATTTAAAGTTACTCAAGTGAATGGAGAATTTTTTGTACAAATCTTACTTATTTTTGTAGCATTGTACAATGAGAGAAACATCACTTAAGCTTTATGCCATTATAAAAAAGTTCTTTACTCATCTAACAATGAAAAAAAAGGTAAAACACTACCTACCTGACATGACATTTTTGTTTGCTACTTTCTTCTTCCTCCATGTCTGTTACCACTCTTGTGTGACCTTTTCCCTTTCTTCTGTCGTTTTCCTTCAGCAATTCTTAGAAACCATTTTGGTTTTCCGATTAAGAACATAAGATATCCCATTACCAATTGCAATACCATTCCACATCCGTACCCCATCCCTACCACTTTCCAATTAAATTCACTTGCAAAAGTTGGATCATCTTCCTTGTGCAACATAGGTGTTGGATGCAGTTGTGGTGTGTTAATATCTTCACATTCCTTCGACAGTGGAAATCCACATAATGCCAGGTTCCCATTGTATGAGCTATTTTCAAATGTTTCAAATTGGTTGTCTTGAGGTATGCGACCCTCGAGATGATTTTGTGAAAAATTTAACATACAAAGAAATGTCAAACTTGTCAATTGGCTAGGAATCTTACCAGAAAGTTCGTTTGAAGAGAGGTCCAACAATTCAAGCAAACATAGATTTCCCAATGATGAAGGGATATTGCCAATAAGGTTGTTGTGAGATAAATTAAACAACCGAAGTCCATAAAGTTTTCCGATGGCATATGGAATCTCTCCTCTAAATTTGTTGTGCGATAAGTCAATTGTCGTGAAGATGGTTAGAATTCTTGGTAATACAACCTCATTCCCCTTCAACATGATGGTCACTGAATCAGAATAATAGGATTGCCCCATATATTTTCTTTCCACCTTTTCATCGACCATCTTCATAGCATTAAAAAGCTTGAAATATGTTGTAGGCAAACGACCACTAAACTCGTTGTGAGAGAGGTCAAAGATTCGAAGCTTTGGGAAAAGGAGTTTAGTTTTGGAAGAGTCCACAGGACCATGGAATTTATTAGATTTAAAGACTGGGACTTGCAACTCTGGAAGAAATTCCAACCAGTAGGGGAATGTGTCGTTTATCTTGTTGTTTCCAAAGTCTAGAACCTCCAAGTGTCTACATGTTGCCAAGGATCGTGGAACCCTACCTTCCAACTGATTACCATTTAAATCAATATTCCTCAACTTGTTTCCCTCTGTAAATGTGGATGGAATGTTTCCGTGAAAATTATTCATCCTAAGATCTAACACACTGAGTACATTGCTAAAGTTTGCTAAACATTGTGGAATTATACCACTCAAGCTATTATGAGACAAATCAAGTATCTCAAGGAAACTTACATTGCAAATTGTCGAAGGGATTTCTCCAGTGAATGTATTCTTTGAGAGGAAATGATTGATGATGGTCGGACATGGTGGAATGGGGCCATGTAGCTTGTTACGACGCAAATTAATATGATTCAATGACTTACTTTGGAATTCATAGATTTGACCTGTGAATTCATTAGAAACAAGTGATAAGTACTTCAATGATGGAAGATTATACAGCCGAATCGGCAGCATCCCAGTATGGCTGTTATAAGCTGAGCAAAGATGTCTTCAGTTTGAAAGCCCTCTTAAGTTGGCGGGAATCGGACCAGTCAATTCATTTCACCTAATGTTTAAACAAAACAAGGAAGAGATGTTGAAAGTTCCTTATGCTTCAGCAGTTGATTCTTTGATGTACGCCATGGTTTGTACAAGGCCGGATATTGCTCACGCCGTTGGTATGGTGAGTCGTTTTCTCTCTAATCCAGGTAAAGAATATTGGGCAGTGGTAAAATGGATTCTAAGGTATCTTCAAGGGACTTCGAAGGTGTGTTTGTGTTTTGGGGATGGTAAGCCGATGCTTGATGGGTTCACAGATTCTGACATGGCTGGTGATGTTGATTCTAGGAAATCTACTTCGGGGTATTTGATGACTTTTGCAGGGGGAGCTGTGGCATGGCAATCTAAATTACAAAAATGTGTTGCTCTCTCAACTACCGAAGCTGAATTTATTGCTATTACGGAAGCTTGCAAAGAAGAGTTATGGCTGAAGAAATTTTTGCAAGAATTGGGTTTGAAGCAAGAAAGGTATGTACTTTATTGTGATAGTCAAAGTGCTATTCACTTGAGCAAAAATTCTACTTTTCATTCGAGATCGAAACACATTGATGTGAGATACCACTGGATTCGTGATGTGTTAGATTCGAAATTGTTGCAACTCGAAAAGGTTCACACGGACGATAATATTTCGGATATGTTGACAAAGACTTTGTCGAGGGACAAACATTTGAAGTGTTGAACTTTGGCGGGTATGGTTGATTTCTCCACCTAAGTCGGTAGGGGAAAAATTGTTGGGTATACCTCCTTATTGGAGTGTGGGACCCAATTAATTTTGGAAAAATAGTTTAATTTGGTTTAGTATTAATTATAATATATTTTTATATATTATATTTAATTTGTGGAGGCCCAATCCAATTTGGTTACAACTAGGGTTTTGATAAAACAAACCTTAGAACTAACAATATATATATGTATTGTTTATGTTTTTTGCTTGGTGGGATTACAAGGACAAAACGGCAGCAGCTATTCGTTTTCAGCCTCAGTAACAGTGCCGGTTAATTTGCTTAGTTCATTAGGAGCTTTGGAATTTTCATTCAGTGCATGTTTTTTTGGGTGTTTTGGTGAAGCTGATTTGGGTTGTTATTTTGGGTCTTCTTCAACTTTAATTCTGAAGATTTTGGTTCATCTATTTGGTGAGGTCTTTCCTCTTATTTATTTGTGATTATTTGAAATTCACCTAAGGGTGGTTTGTGAGACCATTAGTGTCTCGTTTGTAATTGTTTGGAACTTATTTGGTTGATAGTGGAATCGGATTTCGATCCCGTGGACGTACCTCACATTGAGGAAACCACGTAAAAATTCTTGTGTTGTTTTGATTTAATTTTTCCGCATTAGTTTCTATTCTCATTGATTGATTTACTTGTGGGGAATCACATATTTTCCCTAACAAAAATTGCAAAAAATTCTCTAGCCTACCCCACAGGATAAAGTATGTGCCAATCAACAGGAGGCAGATCATATAGGCTATCTATTTTCGGCAATGCTGCAGAGCTCTAATTAGAGCTGCTACAGTGCAGCTCTAATGAGCTGGCCACATATAAAAAAAATAAAAAAAATAGTGAGGTATAAGACAAAATGTAAGGAAGAAGAAGACAAATTAATACTCCATTAAAACTAGGGGTGGGCGCGGGTCGGTTGCGGCCACGGAACCTCCAATCCGCCATCCGTCCGCCAGATTGGCGGATTGAAGAAAATCAATCCGCATCCGTCCGCCAATCCGGCGGATGTGGATTGAGCGGATTGGCGGTTTGGCGGATGGATGCGAATCGGTTTGGCGGTTTAAAATTTTATAAATTTTCAACATAATTCAACTTGTGCACTTCCTCAAAAAAAAAAGAAAAAGAAAGTATTACAATCAATGACTTAAAAAAGTATTACAATCACTGTATACCTTATCCAAAGAAAGCAAGTTTAAAACTTTAGAATATCACTATCACTGCATGCCTTATCCACATGTTACAATCACAGCATGATTCATCCACATAAAGTATTACAATTTGTGATTCTTAAAATATAATAACAATTCATATCACCAAAACCATGAACAGAGCAGTAGTAAAAATTGTATGTCTCTGTATTGTTATATCTATATATATGTTTTTGAAAACCAAAAACCAACCAGTATATATCATATTTTCTATTTATTATTTTTAGAGCTAGATTAAAAACAAAAAAATATAGATAAATAATACATTTATTTTTTTCAATTCAAAAAATATATTCAAGTTGAAAACTTTTTTTGAACAGAATATTTAAACTCTTTTTCAATTGAAAACACAAACATAATATTTATATAAATTGAAAATACAAAGTCTTATAAATTATTAGGGGTGCTCACGATTTGGCGATTTGGCGATTTGGCGGTTCGGTTGCGGCCAAAGAAATCTCAAATCCGCCATCCGTCCGCCAAATTGGCGGATTGAAGAAAATCAATCCGCAACCGTCCGCTCGTCATCACGCATCCGTCCAAAATGCGACGGATCGGTTCGGTTCGATCGATTTTGACAGATCGGTATATCCGCTGCTCACCCCTAATTAAAACTCTCTTTTTAGAAATCTAAATCATTTTTCATCTATTTTAGCAACAAAATCCACTTGTTACACAAAACAACACCCTAGGCCTCTCTGTCTCTGTTTTGACTTCTTCTTCTTCTTTTCTCTCTCTTTTTTTTTATTATTTATTTATTTATTATTTTTTTTAAGAAAACAAAATAATGAAAAATTTAAAACATTAGTCTTTGTCATATCATTTTCATTTGGTACGGAAGAGTTTTGAAAAATCCGAATACAACTTTTTTTTTTTTTTTTAGAAAACAAAATAATGAAAAATTTATAAACAGTCTTTGTCGTATCATTTTCATTTGGTACGGAAGAGTATTGAAAAATCCGAATACAACTTTTTGACATTTATTAAAAAAAATTCATTTTAATAAAAAAAAATCCCAAAAATAACATTTTGGACTAATCACTTCAAGATTTGTGAGAAAATTCTGTTTTTTCTTTGGGAGGGGATTCTCTCGAGTCATGATCTAGATCGAAGAAGGGTTGTTCGGACTTATGAGACTCGTTACGAATTATGTTTTGATAATTTGAATCATAAGTTTTTTAAAACTCGTTGTGTATATCATTTAAAAAAAATTATTTAATAATTGTAACATATTTATTTTATTACGCTTTTCTTAAAAAAAGTGAATGGTTTATTTTAAAAAATATACTTATATTTTATTTTTTCCAGAGACAAATAAGATAAAATGAAGTTACTACAATTATCGGATTAACTTTATTTTTTATATGGATAATATATCAGAAAAGTTTTGTAAAAAAATAACAGTTAGAATCATCGAAATGAGACCTATGAGGGGCTCCACGGGCCTACATAGCGTCTCTGGATAGGAGAGTCTCAAAGTTGGGTGGCACAATAGGCTACTGTATGGCCTATTAAGGGCATATTCCAGTTTCTTTCGATAATCCGAACCGTTCATATTGTAATATTTGTCGAGTAGATTATTCATGTGAAAATCAAGTAAATTGGACATTTAATAAGAGGATATTTATTTTTTAAATATAATTAGGACTTGATCATGGGGTTGTCGATACCTGATTAATTTGATTGTTTACTTAGATGATACACTCGACAAACTTTATAATATAATGGGGCATTTACACATAAGTCATAATTTATGAATTCATACTCTATTAAATCTTAATTAAGATTTTTTAAACCTTCAAGTCCCATTGAGTTTTTAATAGTCAAAATTGCCCTATAAATAATAATTGTTCATCATTTATGATTATTTATAAATGAATATGATGATTTGACATTTATTTTGATTTTCAAAACTTTAAAACATCAACTTTCAAATAGAAAAAAAAAATTTAAAAAATTATGTGCAAAAAAAAAAAAACTTAAGTTTTTGTTTTGAAAAAATTGAATTATTTTTTGGTGAAAAACTGAAAATTTTGTATCTATAAAAGAGCATGATAATGGAACATTGATGTAAAAAACTGAAAAAAAATTTAAAATTGAAAAAATTCATAATATTTTCAGTTTTAAAACTGAAAAAAACTGATAATATTCTTGTACATACACACATATATTTGTCCATGCAAAATATGAAAAATTATGTAAATAGTTGTTGTAGTTTACATGATGTGTCAATTTAGTTATGTAATTTTAATTTGTTTGATTTTGTCTTTTAATTTAACAGATTATGTCATTTTATTCCAATAAATAACGGTTGTTAAGTTAATTTAACAAAAAGTCAAATAATGTGTCAATTTGGTCCTTATATTTTTCACAATGTGTCAATTTAGTCCCTATCAAGATCGAGAAAATTGAAATTACAAGGACTAAATTGACACATTATTCGACTTTCTGTTAAATTAATTTAACAACCATTATTTATTAGATTAAAATGACACAATCTATTAAATTAAGAGATATAATCAAACAAATTAAAACAACAAAAAGTCAAATTGATACGTCATATAAACTAGAGGCTATTTACATAATTTACCCTTAAAAAAAAAGTTCCCTTTTCAGCGTTTTATACCCACCCAAGAAAAGAGACCTATTAAACCATAACAATCTTATAACTTTTCATGTTCTGGGTTTGCTTTTGTTTCGGCTTTGGCTTGTTAATTGCTTTGTCCTTTTGAGTTGTTTCAGATCTCTACAGAAGTAAAGAAAAGAAACAAATGGTACCTCAGAAACAAGCTGAAGCAGCCATAGACACTGAACAAGATGATGATCAAAGAGAGGAGGAGAGGGTAGATGAGTCACTGTGTAGCTTCAAAAGCCTTGTTTGGCATGGTGGCTCTGATCCGTATTAGTGGCTTAACAATTTTTTTGGGGCTTGATAATATATATATATATATATATAGAGAGAGAGAGAGAGAGAGAACCTGAAATGAAAGAGAAGTCCTATTTTTTACAAAATTGCAATTAAAAAACTATGACAGTACATATTATATCATTATATGTGTGTATATATAGAAGAAGAAGAGACATATATAGAACCTATAACATATATATATAACTTGATACATATATGACATGTATACATATACGTATATATACATAGAATCTGAGACATTTTGGGCCTTTGGTAGGACTCCGCGTTCATCTTCCCGGTCGTCGGTCCACCGCCGTTCGTCGGTCCTTTGTTCGTCTTCCCACATTCGTCTTCCCACATTCGTCTTCCCACATTCGTCTTCCCACATTCGTCTTCCCACATTCGTCTTCCCACATTCGTCTTCCCACATTCGTCTTCCCACATTCGTCTTCCCACATTCGTCTTCCCACATTCGTCTTCCCACATTCGTCTTCCCACATTCGTCTTCCCACATTCGTCTTCCCACATTCGTCTTCCTCTGGTTTTCGATTTGGAACTTTTGGGGATTAAGTCTCTAAAAAGAGAAGCAGAGAAGAAGCTGAGAAAAAAAAAAAAAAAAAAGGGTAAACGACGTCGTTGCCTTGCACCGTAGGATGGGCCGCAGGAAAACCCTGCAGAGGATCCGGACTCATAAGAGTTTTGCAATTACAATAACTTTCCATAAATACTTTTGCTAACATGTCAAGTGTATACGTTAAGAAAGCATTAAAAAATGATAGTGCAATATGCACTAATTAATGTATTAATTAATTTATTAATATTAATTATGATATTATTATTGATCCAATTTATTAATCACATTATAAATATTAAAAATCTCTTAAATTATATCACATCATCAATTAATATACTAGTTAGTACACTAACTAATATATATAACATTATTTATTAAGAAAATATAACTACTTCTACAGAGTTGTAAAATCTTAAATGCTTTCTAATTTAAATAATTATTTTTTATACTAAGACCAAAGAGTAATGCTAGAGACCCCAAATATTCTACCAAAAGTTTTACCAAATGTCTCACATGGGTGTGGGACCCACACAATGTCGGTCCCATGTGGGTCCCACACCCATGTGAGACATTTGGTAAAACTTTTGGTAGAATTTTTGTGGCCTCTAGCATTTTTGAAGACGAAAACACTTTTAGCCTCCGTTTGGGAAGTGAGTTGGCTTTTTAACTTTTTTGACTATATGAGCCTGGGCTCAAAAGCTTAGTTTGGGAATGGCTTTTGGCTTTTTGGCTTTTTTGATTTTTTTGTGAGAGAAGAGTGTAATGATTATGGGGTTGGATGGGATGTTTTGTCTGTTGTGGCTCATGAGCCTATTCTGTCTTTTATGGCTCATTGAGCCAAAAAAGCCCAATGAGCCCTTGCCAAACCAACCTTGTTTTTCCTTCCATTTTAACTTTTTATTTCTTTTTTTGGAATAAATTAATTTTAATTTTTTTAAAAATATTTTTTTAATATTTATTTTTATTAAATTAATTTCTACTTTTTAAAAATAAAATCTGAAAATTCAACCAAACAAAGGCGCTGTTTGGGAACCTGAGATTTAGGCTATTATAGCCTCAATTCAAATTTCAGCCAAAAAGCGTGAACAGTTCACGCGTGGTACAACTACGTTAGAAACCGGGGGTGGAATTACCATTTTGGCCTTTGACTATTTCAAAGGGTGTGGGTTATACACACAACTGAAACCCAAGTGCCCTATTCTCATCTCTTCCGTTCCGTCTCTCACACCGACTGTAGCAACACCAGTGCGCGACTGATCTCTCTCCGGCAGACCTATCTCCGGCGGACCTCTGCCTTCCACAGAACACGACGGACAAAGAACAACGACAGGTAAATCACGTGAACCGATTATACATGTGTTTGTTACCTTTGTCGACTCGGTTTGAAACTTTTTCCATTCCGATCTACAAGATCTTCCTCTGTTTTGGCCAATAGTGATGGTATTCGGTGGCTATTTACGCCGATCTGGTGATGATCTGTCTTTCCCCAAATATAAATCGCCGACAATAAATTTATTTTATTTTTTTTTCTCGCCTCAGTTAAATGGGTCATAACAACCGAATACCATTGTGTTGAGCTACATTTCTTTCCCCCGCGATTTCCATAATTACCATTCACAATCCGAATGATGTAATCGTTGCTTACGTTTGGATTTTGTTTGTTTGTTTGTTTTTTTTTTTTTTCAAAACAATTTTTTTTTATTGACTTTTTTTAGGAAATCTCTCTTTTGTAGATGTTTGATAGCTAAATTTTGAGCATTTTTGTATGCTCCCAGTGCATATAGGTTGAGCCCCATTGGCCACTTTTAGTGAAATCTTTACCTTTTCAAAAAAAGCCAATCAACTGGTGCCTTAGTTTGGCAATAGATGCATGCTTTTATAATATTGACTAATTAATGGCAAATGAATAGGGTAAACTATCAATAGATCATAATAGTTGGACTTAATTCCCATAAAGTCCTATTGAAATTAAGTCCTAGTGAAATTGTTGCTAGAAATAATTTTTTGTGACGATTTTTAGTACATGTTAAAAATTGACAATCAGTGACTTTTTTTTGTCATGATATTTATGAATTGTCACTAAAATTTACAATTAGTGACGTTTTGTGAAGAAATTTTCAAACTGTCATTGAAAGTTGAAAATTAGTGACTTTTGTGTCGATTTTTTTAAACTGTTGCTAAAACTTATAATTAGTGACATTTTTGTGGCAATTTTTAAACTGTCGCTGAAATTAACAATTAGTGACATTTTTTAATAGTGTTTGATGAAAAACACTACTAATTATCATAGGACCTATTAAGCAATAAATCCACCTATTAGGATCTATACGTAATTCTTCCTAATATTTATATGAACAATACATGCTTCTTCCTATTTCTTCAAAATACTTACATAATGACTTGACTACAGGAGATCATCACAGGTGACGGGCATAGTAGTGCTATTGATTGGTGGGCTCTTGGTAAGCACTTAGTGAATTCATGATGTCATGACTTGTGTTTGTGGTACTTTTATGCGTATGTTTGTGTGATGTGTTCATGTTAGAATTTCCCATCTTTACCTTCACCTACTCCACTACACACTCCACTTCACCTACCTCCACTTCACCACACACTCCACTTCACCTAACCCACTATCACATCCACTACACCTACTACCACACATTCTTCTATATATAGATTGTATAGGAATTGTAATTCATCAATCCTTTTTTTCTAATCACGCTCTCTTGATTCGTCCTGTTCTCCACTCCTACCTTTATTATTTTTATTCATTATTATCTCTTCATCATCCCCATTTAAAACATAGGAAAGCCAATTGAAAGAGTTGAAATGAGGATGACGATTTTCAAATTTTGTAGAGAGCTATTCGTTCCCCACACCCAATTCTTTTTCCAGAGTCGAACCCTTCACTTTCATGGCTAGCCTTACCAACAACTTAAGCGGTTGGAGACGATGGCTGAAAGCCAATACCTTCTCCCCACTTGATTCGAACAAGCCTAACATATTAAGGAAGAAGTTTGCCTTCAGTCCTTCTATGATCCAACTTTTCTAAGATGTGACCACGCCAAACTTTAGATGACGCATGTTTGTTGAGATAGAATCACATCAGATCAGTATTATTTATACTAAAGATGAACCTGTTTTATCTGTAAAGTGTATTCGTAAATTCTAAAAATCACTATTTTTACTAAATATTTGTTAGTAAGAAACAGCGGATGGCTTCGTCTATGTCCACTAGCACGTCAACAGGGCCACGATGAATGTGTGCTTGCGGCTATGGCCATTGTTTTGTTAAGATTTCCAAATCCCACAAAAATCCTGGTCGTGCATATTATGTTTGTCCTCGGCCTGTGGTGAGTTGTGTAAAATACGCTTTTTGAATCTCCATTTATTGGCAAAATTGAACTTCATTAGCTAACCACAGTTATGTTTGTTGCTCATCAGCAATGTGTAAATTGGATTGGTTGGTGTGATGAATCAGGGAGACCGAGCCCCGACCATGACTCATCCCCAACCGAAGTGATGCAGTTACGGGCTGACATCGTGCAAATTTTTAATACCTTGCGTGTCATTAAAACGATTATTTCTGTGTTGTGCATAACAGCTATCATATTATTACTGCGCATGTAAAACGTTGTAACAACATCGCGTATGTACGTTGGATGCTTGTTTAACTAGTAACTGAAGTAACAAAACTGGACTACTATAAATGCACCTTTTTATTTTTAGTTATGTCCTACGTTTCTCCTACATTCCAGTTTAATTTTGCATATCATATGTGCCTGTGATATGTTGTCTATTTTCCGTTTCTAATTTATTTGTGTAAAATGTGTACATTACCTTCTACCGTAATTAGTTCAATGGCGGCAACACGTTCCTCCCCTCGAACACCGTCCAAACATAAAGGTGTTGGACAGTTGCCTACTGAAGGGTTGCCTGATTACATTGATCTTTCACATAAAGCAACTTGGGACAGTATATCAACCGAAATTTTCTTAGAGTGTGTGCGGGAGCAAATTTTAGTGGGACGTAGGCTAGGTACAACTATCTCAGTTGCCGGGTATAAGGAAATTTCTGTGCAATTTGCTAAGCGCACAGGCAAGCGTCATGACATGAAACAGTTCAAGAACAAGTACCTTGCTTTGAAGAAGGAGTGGCAGGCATGGAATAAATTGATGGACACCAGTAAGGGTGTAACTGGGATTGGGTTCGACAGGTCAACCGGGCTGTTCACCGCGTCAGACGAATGGTGGGAAAATTTGAAATCGGTATGCATTGGAATATAGCATGTTGTACTGTATTGTTCAATTCATATTCATAATTTTTTTGGTTGTTTGTTACTCTACAACTTTAATTTGGGATTCTAATTGTTATTCTTCTCATTTGCAGACAAACAAGCTAGCTTACAAATTCAAGACAAAGCCATTGGAACATGAAGATTTGATGCGGGAAGTTTTCACAGGTGCAACCGCGACTGGGAAACATCATTGGACCCCCGGCGAGCCTGTTGTGGACATTGCTGACGGTGAATCCGATTCTGTTGACTCACCTGGATTGCAGCCATTTATTGCGCCATATGAACCGGTTGTGGACTCACCACCACCCTCCCCCATTGTCCACGTAGATGAAGCGGAGCAAGGGTCAAAGCGCAAGGAGGGGGCGAGTTTAAGTGGAAAGTCGAAGAAGCCGTCCACTGGCGCATCAGTGCTTGCAAACAGTTTCAACCATCTCTCCGAGGCTGTTCGTTCACAGAAGCACCTTACGATCAGGCATGGAACTGGTGCGTCTCAAAAGTATGGCATTGAGGCATGCATGCAGAGGATTATGGCTATACCCGACTTTCTCAGTACACCTCTTTTCCACTTTGCCTGTATTGCTTTGGAGAATGCAGATTACCGTGAGATACTAATGTGCATGCCTGATGATGGTAATGTGGTCGGTTGGCTTGCGGCATTGAAGGCCTCCAAAGGACTGTGAGAACTGTGGTTTGTTGTTTTTTGGGATAATGGAAACAATTGTGGGTGTTTGTGGACATGACTTGTGCTGTTTTTTTTTTTTTAATTTTTGCTTTTTGCTTGCTTCGCTTATCAGGACTGTTAGTTAATATTAATGTTTTGGGTGAATGGATGTGGACCTAATGTCCAACATTTTATGCGGTATTGCTTCATTGATGCGTGGTTTGTGTTGACTATACCAGCATTCGTAACTAGAAGTGTTCGATTTCATTGACTGCATTCCTCTTTATGGTTTGTAGGAAAATGTGGATGTATGCATAGGTGTTGCCATTCTTTGTTATTTTGTGTAGTAGTTTATGCAATATAATAAGACTACATGGTCAACGTAATTAATCCGCTGAGACGTGCATTGTAGGGTTCAACACTGTTGATATGTGGAACGGTGAATGTAGCAATCTGCATCGAAATAATGATGCTTACATAATCGAGCAAGCAGAAGATCAAGAGGACCAACAGAATGATGTAATCGTTGAAGCAGCGCGACAAACAATGGAATATTACGTAAAGTACATGGACAAGATCCCATGTCGAACTTCAATTTTAACCGGTCATGCATGGATTGAAGAATTATTTGATGGACACTTGGGTAGGGGTGAAGAAAATTTGCATATGCCTCTGTATGTGTCTAAAGCGTTATGTCATACATTACGACGAGATTTTGGTTTACGGGTACCTAAAAGACCTCATGGATTACACATTGAAGAAAGTGTTGCCATGTTCATACATACCTTGGCTGGCTACCAAAATCGAAGCATTCAAGAGCAGTTTCAGCACTCGGGAGAAACGGTTTCTCGACATTTTCAAGCAGTATTGGATGCAATGAAATTGTTCACAGAACAGCATTGTAAGCCCACCAGAGCTCAAACTAGTAGGCATCCCAAATTGCGTTCAAGAGGCAAATACATACCGTTCAAGGTAAGAATGCTGTAATTGTCATTAAGAACACTTGTTTACAATGCGGTGTTCAATTAAATAGTTGTGATGTGTTCTATTATGTCAGAATTGTATAGGTGCGTTGGATGAAACTCACGTAGAAGCTGTGTTGCCTGTCCGTGATGCAGCCACATATTACGGTCGAAAAGGGTATCCAACCCAAAATATACTAGCTGTGGCAGACTTTGACATGTGCTTCATTTTTATTTCCTGCGGCTGGGATAGAAGCATGCATGATAGTCGCATCTTTAAGGAAGTAATTGAAAATCAGCGTGTACCGTTTCCGCACCCACAAGAAGGTAACAAGTTTCAGATTCACAACTAGTTGTGGTTCATGTCACGTGTGTATAATTATCTTTTTATTTAATTTTATTTAACTATAGGTAAATATTACCTTGTGGATGCGGGATATCCAAACAAGAAAGGGTACCTGGCACCATTCAAAGGGTCTCGGTATCATCAAGCACAATTTTGGGAACATGGACAACCCGATAACCCGAGAGAAATGTTTAACGAAGCGCATGCATCACTACGGAGTGTAGTGGAAAGGACTTTTGGAGTGTGGAAATCTCGGTGGAAGTTCCTGCACAACATGCCAGACTATGATTTTGCGACGGTGCAAGTGCCGTTGGTCGGTGCATCAATGGCCTTACACAATTTTATTCGTAGACACGAGATAGCTGCCTTAGGCAACGACAGACAATATTTTGTTTCATCCGCCCCGAATGACATGCCCGACGTTCACGCTGGCGGACAAAATCTCGATGATGGGCTCATGGTTGGGGATACAGATGTGGATATGGCAAGAGTTCGTGTTCGCATACGCGACCATTTGTTTTATATACGCAGGTTGGGACTATTGTGAATATGCTGTTTTCGATGTGGAAATTTGTGTCGGAATGTGACCCACGTAGCAAGCCTTTGGACTTATGGAACTATTTGTAATGCACAATATTCGAACTGCAGTATCAGTTATGTTTGTAATGTACTTATAAATTTTATTTAACTAGATCATCCTTTAGTTTCGTTCAATTTTGCACCTATTGGATGCCTTTGACATTTGCCTCACAGTCAAATTTCATGACAAGAATTGCATTTTTTTTTTGAAATGTCGTTCATAAATTTTTTTGGTCATTTATTCAATTTCTGAGAAATTCAATAATTTTATAAGTTGATTTTTTTGTTATTTGTAGAAAAACATAGAAATTCATATTTAATTCTTAACAGATTTTGAGAAAATGTTTTAAATTTTTTGTAAACATCAACTAAAGAAAAGAGTTCGCGGTTAAGGCGAAAATATATTTCAATTTAATTTTTATTATTTATGATAATGAGACCGTACACATTAGAGTTGGAACAAAATTACTTGAAAAAAATTAGTTGGATAAGAAAAATAGTTCAAAACAGAAATTGGGAAAAAAAAAATTAAAACAAATGTGATTTACACAAAATTAATTTGGAAAAAAAGTAAATTCCGAATTTTTATTTGAAAAACAAATTAATTGACAACTAAATAATTGTTGAAAAATATGTATTTTTAAAAAAAAAAAATCATTATAAACTGGCCATTTTTAATAAATTTTAAATTTTAAAAGAATTATAAATTATATTAATGAGTCAGGTTTAATAAATGACTGAAAGTTTGTTCATATATGTAATTAATTGTGTATAAGTTTTACATATATATTTATTTGATCTGTACATGTTAAAAATTACACTTCAATTAAAATAACTGACAATTCTTTTTATTTTTTTGTTACCCAGATTTGTTTTTTGCTTTTTTTTTTTCAATTAAAAGTAACAATCCTTTTTTTTTTTTCAATTAATGACAATGGGTACAGGTAGGTATTAATTTTTTTGGTCAATTAACTTTCACAATTTGATTTACAACTCAACTTTGACAAAACAACCATCCTGATGTGCAGTCCGTACGTCACGTGAGGGATTCACCGAGCTGCTGCCAACGACGGGAACATTGGTTATGTAGGGGCAATTTGGTAATTTAATAACAAAACATCATATCAAACACTCTCTCCAATACAATCATTTAAAAATATTCTCATTTATCTTCCCAAACACAAAAATTAAAATAGCCTATTAAAATAGTCAAATAGCCAAAAAGCCTACTAAAAAAGCCACTTCCCAAACGAGGCCATAGAGAAAGAAAGTGTGAAAATGTTGTGAATTTGAACAGATAGAAAAAAATAGGTTAGAAAAATTCAATAGATACAACAAAATTCAACAGATAATTTTTTTTTGAACAAATAGTCAAAAAATTAGAATAGATAGACAAAAAATTTGAACAGATAGTCAAAAAATTTAAACAGATAGAAAATAATTTGAACAGATAGATATAAATTTGAACGGGTAATCAAAAAAAGTCAACAGTTAAAAAAATGTCAACAGATAAATAAAGGGATACAATTAAAAACAAAATGCCATCTCAAAAGAACAAAATGACTTGTCACCAAACTATTTTACAAGGGTAGACCTCTCACCAACAAAAAAATATTCACTAAACTTAATGTCTTATGTCCTCCTTAGATTGAATTTATCACTAATTTTCTCTTAAAAATATATAATAACATTATATTTATCATATTTTATTGGTTATCTAACGTAACATAACTATTAATTATTTAATGGGAGCGTTTTTGACAAATCTCCTTTCTAAGACTTTTATACCATAAAACTCAAATCATTTTTTATTATCCGATTAGGTCTTATTCAGTGTAGTAAGACCAAAATACCCTCATTTTCGCACCCGTCTATTCCATTTCCAAAACAAAACTGTTCCTATTCCATATCTTCACATATTTCACTCCACAACTCATTCATTCCCCAAAATTGTCATCGTTGCCCCCCAAAAACTCTCAAACCGTAACCATAGGTTTCACATCGCTTCACCATCGTTCTACTGTCATCTTCTGTCGCCCACCGTTGTCGGCCACTACTATTTCACTTTGTCTTACCACTGCAAAGGTTTACATCAAAAGAATGGTGGTTGGTTCTTCCGTGGTTGACGCCAACCGACTATTTTTCCTCAGTTCTGGGTATTTTCAGACCTCCCCACATAATAAGGAGCAAACGTAAGCATCATCCTTCCACCCTTTATTTTTCACTCAATGTTAATCTAATCACTGATGTATACATCTATATTGACTTATTATTGTTGTTGTTTTTTGATTTGATTTTGTAATGAACTCTCTATTTTCACTCTTTGTCAATATTGGTGTTGTTGATATTTTGTTCAATAGGAATCAAATAAACCGATGTATACATTGACATTAACTTGTTATTAATGTTGTTTGTGGCTGTGATTTAGTAATGAACTCCCTGTTTTCCCTATCTATCGATGTCGGTGTTGTTAATTGTTGATGGTCATATAATAATTAGAATAGAACCCCCAATTTTCCATTATCTTTTGACTATTAAAGGTAAATTGTCTTTACAAGATGATTTAAGACAATGTAAATATTTATATCATTTTGGCAACTGTTGTTATTGAGTGAAAATCGATGTCAACATTGACATCATGGTTAGGAACCAATGTACACGTTTACACCGTCTGTTACTATTGTTGGTTTTATCTTGTCATGTGTTATTATTTTGTAATACACTTCCTATCTCTCTCATTATGTCAATGTCGGACTTGTTGGTGTTGTTGGTTATTCATGTTGATCAAATAATTACAGCTCTAATTTTGGATGGTTGCCAACCCTGTTTTAGTTTAATGTGAATTCTTGTAGGCATGTTGTAAATAATAATATCTTATTGTTTCCCTTGTTATTGAGTAACAACAATGTGAACATTCACATTCTGAGGCTAGCCATTTTATAAATTTATATTATGGTGTTTGTTTTGTTGTGTGTTGATTATCGACTTTATTCTCAGTTTCGTAGTCTCAAATATTTGTGTAAATATTCACATTGTTCAATGTGTTTCTATGCTTGTTGAAACTATGCAAGCCAACTTGATTTTAACATAATGGTCTTGTCTTGTTGTAATTGTGGCTTAATTAGAGTTTTCTGAAGTTATGACATTATTCACAATATGACTCATGTAAATATTAGTGTGACCATTCACATTATAATTATTGTTAAAATAATGGTCACATGGGTTCGGTCAATATGGTTATGTGAATATTGATGCTGAGATAATATGCAAATGTTTCCTTTCTGTTGTGAAATTTTGTTCCTATTAATATGAGAAATCAACATATGTTAGTGTTGTCTCAGTGGCCTATGTGAAGATTCACACCTTGATTAATTCCACGATTACTTTTGTTTTCATATCCACATTCATATGAATATTCACATTTCTACTATTGATGTTAACGTTAGTATTGTCAGTTGTATTTCAATGTTGATGTTAACAACCCTGTGAATGTTTGCATCAATGGTGTGGATGTCTCAACACTGTTGTTGTCACACAAAAAAAATGCAATTCTCTGCTCTTATGGTCTAAATGTGAACATACATACCAAATAAATTTGTGCTAATGCCAACACAAATGCATATTTCATCCTCCTTCCATTCAATCATTTATCATGTATGAATGTTTACATCATTGTAGATGTGAACATTCACATCAATGCCAGATGTGAATGTTCACACTTGTGCTTAGATATGTGAATGTTCACATCAGTATTTCAAATGTTTGCATCAGTGTTTTCATTGTAGGAAATAGCAGACTCAGTTGATTTTTTGTATTGCGTGAATATTGTGTTAATATGTATGCCCCATGTAACAGATGTTGTACACAAGTGAAAAATAGACGAATATCATGTCAAATATGAAAGCCCACCTGCAGCTAACCGCATAAATGTTAACATACATCGTGTCAACTGTAGATCCAACATGACAGGCTTGGTGAAATTAATGAAAAGCACAAAGTTTACAGAACCGTAACTTGGCTGCCTAAGAGAAACCACATTTTGGCAATTATTGGATGCACCCACATTTAAGACAGTTTAGTACAAATAGTTTTGACATATTGGAACAAATTAGCTTGCTTGTAAATCAATACTATATAATTTCTTGTATTGCTAACTTTGATTCACCACACACACACACACACACACACACACATATATATATATATATATATATATGCGTTTTGAGGTCTATTTGGTGTTGATATTTTGGAATATGGACTATATGAACATTCACATTGAGCTTCTATTCATTTTTTGGAGTATGGCAATTTGCTAACAAAAGTGTAAATATTTACATTATGGTAATGAACACAGTGAAAACATATTCACCATTCAATATTATATGGGTGTGTGAATAATATTAATACCAACTGACAACACACTGACAAATTTTCATTTCAAATTAATGTAAATACAATGACAGTCAACATCTTGATGGGTGGGAACTACCAAAACATAATGACAATCAATATCCATGTTTATTTTTTTGTGTGTAATATATATCAACATTAAATATAACGGTATAAGAGTCTAAGAAAATAGTATAAATAAAAAAAAATGACCTTATGGAATAAAAGTATAAACACATGGGGCTAAGTGGATGATAAATTTTGTTCATGGACTTCTTGGGTTAGAACACTCCTAAATGGGATTTGTCAATAAAAATCCCTTATTTAATACAAATAAGTCTCATGTGGATTTATTTATAAATGCGGCACATTAAATGTCAAACAAAATATTGTATAAAAATATAATAAGTGTAACCATTATTTACACAATAAATACAGTGGTGTTATATTTCTATTTTTAAAAGTAGAATTTAGTTGAGACTCACCGATTTTTTTCGAGCAATTGGTCGAAAAATCCAAATTTAAATTTGTTTGATCCAACAGGCCATGCGTTGAAATACTTTGTCGAAAAGGATAAAC